AAATCTGTAAACACATGTAAAGTTGACACTTGCTTATTTTAATTAATTAAATGTATTTAACAGTAACACCAAGAGACAATTTTTATGTTTTTCATTTATTTTTTGTTGTTTTTATCTCACCACCATCTAATAATTTAGAATCAAACAATTGCTGGATTATATCAAGCAATATTACTGCTACTACTAATAATTAAATTCCAAATAATTTGGCACTAGAGGTAGGTTTTATATATAACTATCAGATTTTAGATGTTGATACAGTAGAGCCTCAAAAACTCGACCTAATGTGGACTGAAGGGTGGCCGAGTTTGTGAAAATGCCGGGTTATCGGGAATGGGGTTAAAAAAGGATAAGTATGCGTGTTTCCTCAGAAAATATTGTACNCAAATATGAGATAATTATTAAAATCTGGATATGTATTTAATTCTTCTAGTCTCTAAAATTTTTAATTAAGGAATATCTGCATAAAATTATTATATGGATATATAATTCATTAAAGCTAAATGACTAAATTTTAAAGAAAATTTTTGAACCACAATTCATCGTAAATATTTTACTTCATTAAAACATTTAAAACTGTCATCTACATAGTACAGTTTACTTATTAGGATAAAACTCTCCACCTGTTATTTTTCAAATATAATAAAAATCTGTAGGCAGGAAATTCAATCAATATACTACATCATTCTAGTCATCAAAGATTAATTTTTTCAATCTACAAAGTAAATATTTCTCTTTTGTCAGCTTGAGTAATTATTGGTATTTCTACAGTTAAAATTTATTTACAAATTTATAATAATAATAATATATATTAATAATAATTAAGGAGAGGAATTTTGGGTACAAAAATCTGCTAAAAAAGACAGAAAAAGATGCATGTTTATTTAATTACTCCACACACTGCAACATTTCTGTATTATTCAAACTAAAGTAGAAGGAAATTTAAATTAAACATAAATAAAATAACATTTTTTCATCCATTATTTTTAGCACATCACCAAATATACATCACTTGTTTTAGTGAATTGTATTATGTTTCTTGATTGATTGCATGATAAAATTCATCTTTCTCTCCCCAAAAGATTCTTATATAATTTAAAATATTTCTCTACATCAACTGATGAGAGGAGCTAATTTGTTGGGGAGGTTATGACAGCTCACTTTTTGTAGAAACTTTTTCAAGATCCAAGATTTTTTTGCTCAAACTTGACAACAGCTTTTGTAAATTCTCCAAAGTTGTTCTTAACTTCAGAGAATTGACAATGCTCCATTGCTTTTCTTTTTCTAGACCTTGCTCTTCAAGTTTAGTATCAGCTACCTCCAGGAACTTTAGGTATGGACTGGGAACAGTTCACTCAAGGTGACTGTTAGCCAGCAGTTTCTTTACATTTGAAATGGCTTTAGAATCCTCACAAAGCATTCAGGAAAGTTGAAATTTAATCAGTTTTCAAAATGAAAAACTGTAGCAGCAATCCATAATCCTCAATATGTCACTAAAGGTGATAGAGATAATAGCAGATTGGTCAATTCTTGGTACATCTGTATCCATACAGAACACTTCACTAGGACCTTCTGTTATATATTAATTTGTAAAGCAAAATTTGTTTTTTAATTCTCTCTGTGAATTATACAAGGTGTACAGGAGATGTGTTTCAAATTCTGATACAAAGCATTAAGCTTTGAAAATTCAAAAAGCATGTAACTTGCCTCATCTGTTACAAATCACACCTTGTATGTAACAGTTAGTCACAGGCTTACCATAATGCTATTGAAAATCTGCATGACTGTTGTAAAGTTAATTTCTCAAGAAACTGAGTTTTAAACAACATTGGCCAGATTTTCTTTCCTATTGAGTGATGCAACTAAAATGTTAAGAATGAACATATTTAGTTCATCTGCTGTTCATCTACCATTTATTAAATCATATATAATATCTGATTTTTGTGATAGTTGAATCATTCATAGACCTTTTGAAGTGTACATTCATCTGGAACAACTCTTTTGGTGTACTTTTCTAAGTAACTTTTAGAGCAGAATGTTTTAACTTGAAGAGTTGTTTATCAGCTTGAATAAACAAAGAAGTAATGATGATATAAAACTGAGTTGTCTTTTTTATGAAAATGATTGTTTGGAAGCAGTAGTTCTTTTACAGTTCCTCGTTTTTCATATGTTTACCAGTTTTAATGTCAACCTGATTTTTTTTGTCTACACTAAGTACAATGTTACAAATCCCATAATTCACAATTGTTCCACCTGCAGCTATCTGACCTTTGAATATTTTTTTTGTAAATTTACCAACTATTTCTTTGGATTTCTATATTTTACAAAATTATTCTTTAATAAAACTTGATGCACAGTTCTTATTACTCTACTGTACACAGGCAGTTTCCTGATTCTCATGTGGCTCTTTTCTTCTTGTGCCAAGTGGCACTGCTGTTTGTGACCTGGGGACAGTTGTAGAAAAAAGAAAGTAACCAAAAAGTGTAGACCAATGCAAAATTTCAAAAATGGTGCTACTTAACTCCTTGATAAATACCTCTAATAGTCATAGTAAGTGCAAAAATAGTTATACCAATGTACTGCTAACTTTAAAAATTGGTGCTACACTTGAAATTCTTTTTCCTAATAAAAATAAGTTCTGTTAAATGCTAACAAATTTTAGCATTCATAAAACAAAACCTGCTAGAAATATAATATTTGTACATTTATTCCAAATCATCATCTGTATATAGTTACTAAACTAGGCACCTATTCATCAATTTTTCTGATAAATGAGCTGAATATTACAACTCAAAAAAAAAAATTTTTTTATATAAAAATTTTGATCCAACAATATAGATAACAAGAAAGCAAGCACTATTAAAAAAATTATATAAATTAATTAACTTAGTATATGTCATTATGATAAAGCATAGGGAGAAAATTTTAAAGCAATACATTCATCAGTTCATTAATTAAAAAAAAAAACAGAATTTGCATATCCAAACAACAGATCATCATATTTTTATATTTTTACAAACAAAGCCTCCACAACTACTGCTGTATCTTTCTGTTCTTTATAAAGTTAACATACATTAGGAAGAGGTTGTTAAAAATGTACCACCTCCCAAATCACACCAGTTTATCAATATTTTAAAATTATTAACTTAATTTTCCTTCATCTTTTGAATAAATTCTGAAATATAATGACTGTTGATAACATCACAGTAATTTGGTTATGATTGTCCGTGGTTTGTTTTTAGTATACTTGTTAAAAGAAAATTCAGGCTTTTGATTTATTATTTCATTGTCTTTGTAATAATTTGGAGTAAGGTAAGCTAAAATATTTTAATTTTATAGTACTGTATAGTTAGATATATTTATAAGAAACATATTCATAACATAACATACACATATAATACAACATAACATTAGTTATTAGGCACTTTTAAAGCTTATGAAGATTCTTATTTCACAAAATTTGCATTGTATCTGAAATCACACCAGTGCAATCTGAGATATAGTTTTATTATTATTTTAGGTTTATTCTGCAATACCTGATAAATAAAGTATGAAGGACAAAACTGGTTAGCTATATTTTATTTTTTATTACCAAAATTACATTTTACAGTGTGAATTACTGTATATTTCTGTGCTGTAAATAAAATATGTTTTATAATAAATTTTTAAATAATTAAAAATTAATACATATNATATTGTTTAATAATTAATAGCTGTTGATAATCTATAGTTTTTGTACTACAAATAAAATACAGTCAAATCCCTCTGTAGTGATATTTAGCAAAGAAAAAATATTTTTGGAGTGATATTTATTGTTAAGATGAGTTTTTTAAAAAGTATCCCCTTCCTTATTTAATATTGTTGTACAGATAATGATCATTTCTACAAAATTGGAAAATGTTAGAACAGGAAAACATATAGTATTATTAGTCTCCTATAATACATGATTTAAGTGGTTTTATTGCATACTATTTCTACAGAATACAGTATGTTAAACATTAAAATTCAAAATCAGTCAGAACCTGAATCTTTCTAGTCAAAAATGAAGTAAAACTGAATTAATTCTAAAATTAATTTCTTAAGGAGAAAGTTTGTTTGTGTAATTTGCAACAGTAAGGCATCCCTGTAAATTTTCTAAGAGAATGTTTTTAACATTAAACTCATTTAACATAACAAGTTTTCTGCAGAAATCATATTAGGATGCATTAGTAGTTTTGCAAATTACACTAAATCTAAAAGTAAAATCAGTTTTATTACAATTATTTTTACTTAGTAAAATCACGTGCTGTGAGGATTTTGGGTTTTGTCTAATGTACAGATTTACTATAATTTATAAATTCTTGAAAAAACTGGAAATGATACAATTCAAGCCTAAAAATGCTAAAGAGCCAGTTTAGATCCTTTCTGGCTCAAAGTTAAAACTGGTTTCCTTTGTCATTTAGTGTTAAATGTTATCAAAAACTTGCTCAAAAGTTAAGCTAAATGTTTCAGCTAAACAAAGCAAAAATATATAATTAATTTTAAGTGATAAATAAAAAATTTAGGTGCTAAAATATCAAAACAGACTAAATCAGGCAACCTGCTCTTGTCTTGTACTGATGCCTACTGACTGCAGGTGTTCATGGCAAAACCACTATATTAATATAGAAACACATTTTGATTCAAAAAAATTACTAAAATAATATTAATTAAAATTTAATTTACTTCTTTATCATTGTTGTAGAGAATGAAAAATACCATTTATTTTACAAGTACAGTAAAAAAAAAAAAAAAAGTATTTCAAAAGATTTATCACAGTAGAGTATGTGGTTCAATCAAAAAGTTTTAAATTAAGTTAATACAAATTTCACAGAGAACTACATTTCTTATCATTATGGAGGGATTTATCATTATATAAATAATCACTGTACTGAGATTTGACTGTATAAATATATTTAAAAGATAATTATGATTAATAATTAATAAATATTAATAAAATTATTGAAAAAGTAAAAACTTACCTTCTGTTGTAAGTTTAGTAAGAACAAATATGAGATAATTATTAAAATCTGGATATGTATTTAATTCTTCTAGTCTCTAAAATTTTTAATTAAGGAATATCTGCATAAAATTATTATATGGATATATAATTCATTAAAGCTAAATGACTAAATTTTAAAGAAAATTTTTGAACCACAATTCATCGTAAATATTTTACTTCATTAAAACATTTAAAACTGTCATCTACATAGTACAGTTTACTTATTAGGATAAAACTCTCCACCTGTTATTTTTCAAATATAATAAAAATCTGTAGGCAGGAAATTCAATCAATATACTACATCATTCTAGTCATCAAAGATTAATTTTTTCAATCTACAAAGTAAATATTTCTCTTTTGTCAGCTTGAGTAATTATTGGTATTTCTACAGTTAAAATTTATTTACAAATTTATAATAATAATAATATATATTAATAATAATTAAGGAGAGGAATTTTGGGTACAAAAATCTGCTAAAAAAGACAGAAAAAGATGCATGTTTATTTAATTACTCCACACACTGCAACATTTCTGTATTATTCAAACTAAAGTAGAAGGAAATTTAAATTAAACATAAATAAAATAACATTTTTTCATCCATTATTTTTAGCACATCACCAAATATACATCACTTGTTTTAGTGAATTGTATTATGTTTCTTGATTGATTGCATGATAAAATTCATCTTTCTCTCCCCAAAAGATTCTTATATAATTTAAAATATTTCTCTACATCAACTGATGAGAGGAGCTAATTTGTTGGGGAGGTTATGACAGCTCACTTTTTGTAGAAACTTTTTCAAGATCCAAGATTTTTTTGCTCAAACTTGACAACAGCTTTTGTAAATTCTCCAAAGTTGTTCTTAACTTCAGAGAATTGACAATGCTCCATTGCTTTTCTTTTTCTAGACCTTGCTCTTCAAGTTTAGTATCAGCTACCTCCAGGAACTTTAGGTATGGACTGGGAACAGTTCACTCAAGGTGACTGTTAGCCAGCAGTTTCTTTACATTTGAAATGGCTTTAGAATCCTCACAAAGCATTCAGGAAAGTTGAAATTTAATCAGTTTTCAAAATGAAAAACTGTAGCAGCAATCCATAATCCTCAATATGTCACTAAAGGTGATAGAGATAATAGCAGATTGGTCAATTCTTGGTACATCTGTATCCATACAGAACACTTCACTAGGACCTTCTGTTATATATTAATTTGTAAAGCAAAATTTGTTTTTTAATTCTCTCTGTGAATTATACAAGGTGTACAGGAGATGTGTTTCAAATTCTGATACAAAGCATTAAGCTTTGAAAATTCAAAAAGCATGTAACTTGCCTCATCTGTTACAAATCACACCTTGTATGTAACAGTTAGTCACAGGCTTACCATAATGCTATTGAAAATCTGCATGACTGTTGTAAAGTTAATTTCTCAAGAAACTGAGTTTTAAACAACATTGGCCAGATTTTCTTTCCTATTGAGTGATGCAACTAAAATGTTAAGAATGAACATATTTAGTTCATCTGCTGTTCATCTACCATTTATTAAATCATATATAATATCTGATTTTTGTGATAGTTGAATCATTCATAGACCTTTTGAAGTGTACATTCATCTGGAACAACTCTTTTGGTGTACTTTTCTAAGTAACTTTTAGAGCAGAATGTTTTAACTTGAAGAGTTGTTTATCAGCTTGAATAAACAAAGAAGTAATGATGATATAAAACTGAGTTGTCTTTTTTATGAAAATGATTGTTTGGAAGCAGTAGTTCTTTTACAGTTCCTCGTTTTTCATATGTTTACCAGTTTTAATGTCAACCTGATTTTTTTTGTCTACACTAAGTACAATGTTACAAATCCCATAATTCACAATTGTTCCACCTGCAGCTATCTGACCTTTGAATATTTTTTTTGTAAATTTACCAACTATTTCTTTGGATTTCTATATTTTACAAAATTATTCTTTAATAAAACTTGATGCACAGTTCTTATTACTCTACTGTACACAGGCAGTTTCCTGATTCTCATGTGGCTCTTTTCTTCTTGTGCCAAGTGGCACTGCTGTTTGTGACCTGGGGACAGTTGTAGAAAAAAGAAAGTAACCAAAAAGTGTAGACCAATGCAAAATTTCAAAAATGGTGCTACTTAACTCCTTGATAAATACCTCTAATAGTCATAGTAAGTGCAAAAATAGTTATACCAATGTACTGCTAACTTTAAAAATTGGTGCTACACTTGAAATTCTTTTTCCTAATAAAAATAAGTTCTGTTAAATGCTAACAAATTTTAGCATTCATAAAACAAAACCTGCTAGAAATATAATATTTGTACATTTATTCCAAATCATCATCTGTATATAGTTACTAAACTAGGCACTTAATTATCTAAGGGTATTTTTGCCCTGCCAAGATATGGCCAAGTTATCCGGAGTGCCAGGTTATCGAGTGCCGAGTTTTCGAGGCTCTACTGTATTTGTAATAATTTAGAGACATTTTCAACCTTTATTAGGCTATCAAAATTGTTCTATAGTTGGGTATATGAGGATTGCCTAAAAGTCAAAAAATGTCTCTAAATTATTAAATAGTTTCAGTGTCCTTAATAAGCAGATATGTCAACTTTACATTTAAAAATGGTTAAGCATTTTCTTCATTTTATAAATACAGTAGAAACTTGATTTAACATTCATCAATTTAACATATTTTTCACTGCTTCCTCTTCATAAACCACAACGTTCACATTATTGCATTTAGTTTCTCGATTCTGTATATTTTTGAGATTCAATGCATCAAAAACACAACCCTTACTTGAATTTTCATTTCAAATAACATTTTTTTGAAAAAGTACTGTATTTCATTTCATGAAAAGTTATAAAAAGTTCAACAAATTATCAAGATTGCTTTGCCACCCCATGACAGTGAGAGGACACTATGTTCTATAGTTTTGGAACCTTGGCAACCATTGTTGGACTCAGAGATTGACATAACAAGTAGAATAAAAGAATAACAATTTTTGAAGTTCACTATAGATTCTGCAGTCCAGATAGCAGTATTTCTGTGAAGCTACAAACCTGGATATTGTAGCATTAGGGCAATAAGTACAAAACACTAAAGGAAGTATTTAATATCTAATAGCTATAATGATATTGATGAAAAATATGTTTCTTTACACTTCAAGCTTAGAAAATGCAGTAATAAAAAACAATAAATCCTCAACAGGAAGCAAACAAGTATCCTTGATTACTTTAAAAAGACACCTTAACAGTTTATCTCCTTTGTATAAAATATGTTTAGCGATACCAATTATTGTACATTATATTGAATGAAATAAATGCTTTCACTGAAGCATTCACACTGGAAATATATATGTTTTCTTCACTTATCCATTCTGAATGCATATAAACATGTATTTGTATGTTTTGGCATGATTTTTAAGGCATGTTTGGATTTCATTTTCTGCAATTTATTGTATTATTCGAAATTAAGTTTTACAAAAAAAATGATTATCCAAAATAACAAATATTAGTTATTAATGAAACATAATAATTTCACAAATGTATCTTAGATTAATTATCATCTTAAATGACAAGAAAATTATAATTATTCATAAAATAAATTTTGTATAAATGTTTTAATTATAATTTCTGTCTCTGCAATGACCATTGGCAAGTTGGTATCACCAAGTTGACTGTTGCTGAATTGACAATATCCAAATCTGGAGACTAGGCAGGACAAGCTAATATGGCAATGTAACAGACGCATTTCTGCAAAACTCTAGCTGTATTCANAAATTATTTTTTTATTTTGTACAAACAAAATAAATTTATTGAAAAATATAAAAACAATAAAAAATTATACTTCAGATGTTAATTTGGTATCAAAAACGTAAAATATTTGAGTAGCCCGAGAAATAGCCGAAGATTACAGCGCCAGAGCACTAGTGAAAATTTAAATTTGCCGACTGGAATGCTTTCGGATAAACGACGCTCTACTGTATTACTGTTAGAACTAAAATTATTAGAATGTAACAACCTATGCCATTCATTTGTCAAATATATTTCCATAATAATTATTATGATGACAATGATGATAGTAATCTCACTAGTCAACAATCTTTTTCAAGATGAGAGATCTCACTAATCTAATGACCCAGAAAACAATGCCAGCAAGAGCATAAGTTTCCAGTAAAGTCTAAAAGGAAACATGAAGCAGAATGAGACCATAAGTAGTGTCTAATCTAGAGTGGGTAGCTGCTAAAACAGTGCCTGTTCTCCATATTAGGAGCGAGTGATTTATAAATACCTGGTTTTAGTTATATAAGCACACTCATTTCAGTGGAGAAAAAAACAAAATGATTGTGACATACAGTATAATATTGATTCAGACATTTTGTTTGATAGGATATATCAATGCAACATATAAACAATCTGCCAATGGTGATGCCTCCTAAAAGGACTTTCTGTGGAAAACTGGCTCCTATTTATGTGTTAGACATGCAAAGAAAATTCAGAAAACTTCATACAACCAGCCTGTTGGTGAGGTACAAACACAACCATTACCAGTGTTTAGTGGTTATATCCACTTCACTACAGACTAACAAGGTTTGCACCTGTGGGTTTGGCAGATGCTCTTGTTCAAAAAAGTTATTAGTCCCCCTTGGTCATCATTGGTGAATGCAACACTGGCCCAAGTAAAGCTACTGCATCACAAACATTCACTCTCACATAAACACACACAAACCCAGTCAAAGTGTTTTAGCAGCAGTTCAGCCATTGATCACAAGACTGAAAAACCATGCCAATGGATAAAGTGAATTCAAGATATGAATGAATTTATCATCCATACCTATTAAAACATCAAAAAACTGACATGACATGACAAATTCACACAAAAATACCCATATCTCACTATTTATTTGTTTTGTTATGGCAACACAACACTCGGGTGACCTGCCTAGGGGGATGCCCTCCAGGAGGTCTTTTTAAGGGTAACTGACTCCTATTCAGACATGGAGAAAACCTGGAAAACTCCACATGGCCAGACCATCCTGGCAAGGCGCAAACCCACA